TTTTTTTAATTTATTTTTTTATTATAATTTAATTTAAGTTTAATAATGAAATAATTTATTTTTTGTTTAATATTATAAATTTTATAATGATAATAATTAAGTATTCTGCTAGAATTTAATGATTATCCTAATTATATTTTAGATTTTCTATATTTAAAATGAGATGTTTATCCTGTATTTGATTATGTTTATCTGCAGTTGGTTACACAAATTCATATATAGAGCTTTAATAAGTTGTACTTACGCACAATCTACTTGCAATCTTGAGTTTTAAGTAATATGCATTAATAAACAGTACTTTTACGCATAAAAAGTGGTTTTTAAGAGTTTTTGTCAAATGCTTTATAATATATATATACATATATATATATATATATACATATACTTGGGATCATGTGAGAACAATGGTTTTTCGTGAGACGCGTAAGACCAATTCTCAACTATTGGATTATATCTACAATTTGAACATTCATAATCATAAAATTACCACGAGACTTCTCAATAATCACAAAATTGTCACCGTACAACTTTAGACCACTAGATCATTAGCTTATAAAGTTGATCAATGAACATAAATTGGTCTTACGGATCTCACAGAAAACCTTTGGTCTCGCGTGAACCCAATTCTCTCTCTCTCTTTATATATATCTAACAAGTTTAGTTATCAAGATTTGTGACATAAATTACTTGTGACTTTGCAAAAATGGGAAAATGATTAATAATATAATAATAATGAGAATGCAGCCAATATATGGTATATATGGAAATATTCATTACTTTGTTGGGTAGTAAGGGAGGGATGGAGAACTCCATTTTTTATTTTTTTTATTCCCATTTTTAACCTCATATCAACATGCAGAAAGTTATCAATAATATTAAAATTGGATCGGATTGGATTTAAAATTGCAATATTAAAAATTAGAATACCGTCGATGATGGCTTAAAATCCAATAAAACCTAAAGTTAGTACCAATAATGAATAAATCCAATTAATCCATTGAATTGGACTGGTTATCCAAAATTAATTGAATTATATTAATTGTCAAAATTCAACATTTAATGGGTGATTAGATTAGATCCATAATAAATGCATATTCTACTTGTAATATTGAATTTTAAGTAATAAGCATCAACAAATAGTAGTTTATACATAAAAAATTGTTTTTAAGAGTTTTCGTCAAATGTTTTATAATATAGTACAGATGATTCGTTTGATCACTTAAAAAAATATATTTGAAGGATAAATGAATGAAACCAATTTTATCATCAATATGTACGGAAGTTTAATTATTTGAAAACTATTTGTGATATATGTGACAACTTTTATCTTAAGGTTTTGTTTTATATGTTTTTTTTCTCATTTAAGTATAATATTTAACGTATTAATTAACATATATCTGTATCACAATGTGTTTGTTTCATATGTATTCGGTTAACAATATGAAGTTTCTTTACATGTGTTTTTTGTTTCACAAACACGCTAAGAGAATTCATATTGCGAACCTAGTACATATGAAACAAATATATATTGTAAAACAAATATATGTTAATCACTATATTAAATTCTAGTCATAGACGAAAAAAATAATATAAAATAACACATGATACATTGATCCTCAAAGATCTCACGATTTAAAAAGTTCTTGAAAGAAGGTGCCCCCCCCCCCTCTCTCTCTCTCTCTCTCTCTCTATATATATATATATATATATAGGGTTGGGTTCACGTGAGACCAAAGGTTTTTCGTGAGACATTTAAGACCAATTTATGTTCATTGATCAACTTTATAAGCTAATGATCTAATGGTCTAAAGTTGCACAGTGACACTTTTGTAATTATTGAGAAGTCTCGTGGCGTTTATGAATGTTCAAATATGACGATTGTAAATCTAATCCAAGGGTTGAGAATTGGTCTTACGGGTCTCACGAAAAACCATTGTTCTCACATGATCCCAAGTCTATATATATATATATATATATATATATATATATATATACTATCTTATAATGCATTTGGCTAAAACTCTTAATCTCTTAAACTCTTAAACTCTTAAAAACAATTTCTATTGCTTTAGGTACAACCTACTAAAACATATCTATCCTAAACCCCCTTTCTAAACCCAATCCCATTTTTATCGCCCCTAACCCAATCCCATTTTATCGCCCCTAATTCCCAATCCCATTTTTATCTATCGCAACCCTAATCCCAATCCCATTTTATCGCCCCTAACCCAATCGATGAAATCGTTTAATTCTCAATCCCATTTCAAGCATGCTCATCGCTTCCTTCCCAAAGCGACGATTTCCAAATTGATTTTCTCAAAGATGTCGATTGAATTCAAGACCATATATCAATGCGGTTAGGGTTCTTTTCGCTTCTTAATGCGATCCATCATTCCCGATTCCATGTTGTTAGGTTTTTTCCATTCGATCCATCGCTCTTAATTTCATACGGTTTGTTCAAGTTCTATTTTTATTTCTTGTTCTTATATTTATTTATGTTTGAGGTTCTCAATGTTGACATATATTTGCAATGATTTAGGGTTTTACCTGTTCGGATATACGTTTATGATATGAGTTTGTTTATGTTCTACTGTATGATTTGATTTTGCTCTTTTTGCAGTTTTCTGACCTRGTTAGGTTCCTTTTTCTTCTATATGTGTCATGATGCAGGTGATTCAAGGAGGAGGGTAAAAAGGTTGGAAAGATTCTGTAACTTATTCAGTTATATCAATTTCTAGCTTAGAATGTGTTGAAGATTTTTGTTAATCTTTATAGCAAATTATACACGATATTTATTTGCTGAGTTTATACACGATATTTGTTTCTCTGGAGTAATTATTGTGTAAATGCCTTTTAGGTTCTTGCTGCTGATTCGAAGTGCATTGAGAATGCTATAAGATGTGGAGGGTTAGCCCCAACAAAGGCTTCTTATATAAAGAATATGTTGAGTTGCCTGTTTGAGAAGAGAGGGGAGTTATGCTTGGAGTACCTGCGGGACTTGTCAATTGATGAAATAAAGATGGAACTCTCTCGATTCAAGGGGATCGGGCCTAAAACGGTATCTTCAGATTTTAATGCTATTATTCAAAAATCATTATGTAGATCGCATGAAGCTCAACTTTAGGACCTCATAACATTCTAAACTTTAACAACACTCTGTAGAGGTAGCTAGAATATTGCTAAAATAACAACTATAATACCTTATGTTATCTTAGGTTCATTTTATCATCCTAATGAATTGAAATTTCCAACTTAATGAGGACTGAAATCATGAGAATAAGAAATTTAGTTTCGATATGGACTTTCGTCGTGAGGCAGTTGCTTAGTAGTTTGCATAATTGATTTTTATATAGAAATTATTATCGAGTGTGGTTAGCGGTCTAATTGAAGTGGCTGAGAAAGTCGCTCATCATGTGACCAGATCATAATCCCCAATTGGTCAAGAAGTTTTATAATTTTAAATGAATTGCAGGTGGCATGTGTATTGATGTTCAATCTTCAGCAAGATGATTTCCCAGTAGATACACATGTAAGTTGACTCAACTATTTCAAAGAAGCATGGCAATTGGGTTTTTAGCTGACTTTGGGATATCTCTACAGATTTTTCAGATTGCAAAGGCAATTGGTTGGGTGCCCATAGAGGCAGACACTAAGAGGACATATCTTCATCTCAACACAAGGATACCAAATTTTGAGAAGATGTAATGAAGTAAGATCTCTCCGCATTTGATTTTCAGATTTTCATCCGTCTGCTTGTATGTCCATTAAACATGTTATATCGTCCAACTCGCTATTGCTTCCTTAGAGTCATATGCAACATAGTCCGCTCTCCTTCATATGCATAAGAGCTCATTTTATTATAGAGATTTAGCTAAAAGTAACTATTGCAATTTAATTAAGAGTAAATGAATATATGGCTACATTTGAGTTCATGACTGTTGAGCAATAYAAGGCTAGAAATATAGCCCATCCAGTGAATTTCTCTTGCTTTTTAAACAAACTTACTCAGACCCCCCAGCATTTCTTTACATCTTTTGGGGACTCCCCCAACACAAATCAGTTGGAAAAAAGAACAAATTGAATTAAATCCAACTTTGCATGTACAATATTAGCCTATGTTGCAAGCACATGGTACAAATTTCACCCCGCTGTGTGCATTACAGCAAGCATATATGGGTTAAATAATATGGTTACAAACCAGAACTTACATGCTTGCTGTTGGATGATTAGTTGAACTTTTTTAAGTCTGTAGATACTGTTCACGATCTGATTTATCTACGGATCATGTTTATTTTGACCTGTTCAAGTCATTTCAGTATTTTGATGATGCTAATTAACTAAGTTGAAGTGGATCAAATATGTGAAAAATTTGAACTTCTTTCAAGTTCTTTTCAGGAGGATTGGTGGCATGTTGACAGGTTAGAGTTGTGATGTAGAGTGCACGCCTTAAGCTTCTAGCATCATTCCTGCATTAATGGGTGAAGAGAGTGTTGCTTTAGGTAGATGACAATCTAAAGAACACCAAGGTATTAGTTGCCTTAAGCTGCTAGCACCATTCCTTTACATTAATGGTGAAAGGAGTGTTGTTTTAGGTAGATGAAATCTAAAGAAGACGACCAAGGTAGTAGTTATGGTTTGGTTTCTGCCATGAATAAAATATTTCGTTTACTGTTTTGCTCACTTCTGGACTGCTACGCTTTTGATATTGGTTATAATTAAACATAGTATAAAGGCGTCTGCATCTGTTTGATTACACATGTGCAGTATTACTTTAAGCTCTGTAGATGTATATACCATCATATACATATTTTTATATATACCGCCAAACCCTAAACTTCCGGATATAACAACGAAAACGACGATAGAGGTTGTCTTTAAGAGTTTTAAGAGTTTTTAAGAGTTTTAGCCACGAATGTTTTATAAGATAGTCTATATTTTTACAGCATGTATTGTTATATAATTTACTTATTCTAAATATATTTTTTCCAGTACAGTAAAATCTGGATCATGATTATGTTTTTGCTTTATATGGTTAGTAAAAAGGAATTTTGTATAAGGATATTTGGATCTTCAACATTATAATAGTCTATTGTTTTGGAAAGGTATTTTATTTTTATTTTGGGATAATTTTCACTTGTAATTCTTTGTTTTGTCTTTTATTTTGTTGGTTTGTTTGTCWTAATTTATGAGCTCATCATGTTTTGGATACGATTGTAGTGTGAAGTGTTAGTTGAAATGTTAGATGCTATAGTGTATTATCCTTRCACGGCTTGTCATATTATTCTTGATTGAATATTATTGTGCTTTTAATTTATAGGACAACAAAATGCAAGGATTTATAATTGTTTGTTTTGTTTGCAATGCTTAAGGATTTAGTTCTAAGATCTAATTTATCTGATGAAATATCAATTTGCAGGTGATTGTTTGTTGCATGTGACATTTGCAGGTCTAACCTTTAATCTACAATAGTTCTCTTTTGAACCTGATAAGGTACAAAGCCTTCTGCATTTCTGACTTTTGGTAAGGTATCATGTTTTTTCCAAGTTGCTTTCTCTAACTTCCTTTATGATCATTTTGTGGATTTTAGTTTGATGCTTCTAGCTTGATAAACTTATGTATTTACATGGCTCCATAAATCTGCTCTTGTTAAGTTAAAAATTTAATAGTATATGTTTGTGCTAAGTTGCATAGCTCAATAAATCGCTTGATATACTGCCCAGTTGGTATGTTTCTGAACTTCATGTTAGACTTGTTTCCCGTGCTATTGCTATATCAACAAGGGCTTGTAATTGACTAAAAAGTGCTTCACCTTAATTTATTTTTATTTGTTTACTAGCTGGTGGTAAATTTGGCTCCATAGCTCCATAAATCTGCTCTTGTTAAGTTAAAAATTTAATAGTATATGTTTGTGCTAAGTTGCATAGCTCAATAAATCGCTTGATATACTGCCCAGTTGGTATGTTTCTGAACTTCATGTTAGACTTGTTTCCCGTGCTATTGCTATATCAACAAGGGCTTGTAATTGACTAAAAAGTGCTTCACCTTAATTTATTTTTATTTGTTTACTAGCTGGTGGTAAATTTGGCTCCATAGCTCCATAAATCTGCTCTTGTTGGAGATTGATTGTTTCACCAGCTTAATCATTTAAATGAGGCGGTGATTGAACATGCACGACATAAAGCTCTCTGCAGATTACCTCTTTTTAAAGCAGATTAGGCCTTACAGATCATGATGTTATTTTGTTTTTTCTTTATAAAGATTGTTTTTGTTCTTTTAATTTTAGCTCTTTTTGCTAACTTGGAACTATCACAGGGCATATTGAAATTAACAGATGGGAGAAATTCTCACATACCATATAGGGAGTCAAAATTGACCAGGCTTCTTCAATCTTCCTTAAGTAGTCATGGAAGAGTATCCGTAAGTCTTATATCTGAGTTTAAGGTTATTAAAGAAACATGTTTCGTAGTTGCTTAATAAAAGCAACTCTTGGTTGTATGGGACCATTATACTATTTGCTTATGGATGCCTATTTGTTGTTTCCTTCTCTTTCAGCTAAATTGCACTATTACTCCCTCATTTTTTTGCCATATACTAACATTTTTTTCGTGCAGGTAATTAAATTTGGTTTTGATATGGTCTTTAATGTTGATAATTTGGAGTTTGGTGGAAACCTTGGGTTTATTCACTTCTTTTGGAGATGTTCGTCTTGTAGGAGTCATTTTGGTCGGTTTCTCCTTCTGTTTAATTTCAATGGTTGGGATGGAATATATACATGGTGCACAAAACATTCAAACATCCCACTCTATTTTTTTGGTAGGCATGTTTTGATGCAAAAACATCCCTTTTTTATATTTTCTATCTACTTGCTGGTTGTTATGATTAGAAGTTGGTCCTATGTACATTTTACAGGTTTATGTTTCTTGTTTATAACTTGATTGCTGGTTGATTTATGTTTTGATTTTTTTGATTGTTTATAATTCATGATATGAACTATGTAAGTTTTTTATTGTTGTGTTTCATCGTGATAATTGAGTGTTCATTTGATTTTTATTCATAAAGCTATATAAGTTCATCCTTGATGCGTTTGAGTGCTAAACTGAGATTAAATTGATCAACTTGTGACTGGCRGGGGATTTTGTTTCTCAAGTAAATTGTGATGAGAAGGATATTGAAATCTGATGAGCTATATGGATGGAGTTGTACATGATAAGCGGATTCAAGATTGGGGTAGATAGGTAAGGGTACAAAAACATAACACATCTTCAAGTAGTTGTTCTCTAAAAACAACAAATCATTGTGCCAAACTGCCGGTTGAAGCTGCAGTCTCAAGTTGATAAATACTGCTTAGATGCTTCTTGTAATTTACTCTCTGATTATTTAATGGTCAATTTGATACACAAGATAAGATGGATATGTGCTATCAATGTCTATGTATGATATAATAACAATATTGCTTTATTTCAATGGTAATTTATAGACATTTTTGGTGTCCACTAAAGCCAGTTTTGTCAATTATATCATTACTCCGATTGTTAAGGCCTATGCTATGCTTCTAGCCTTTTTTTTTAATACGATTTTGATCAAGTATTTTTTACACAGGGTATATGTACAGCTGCAATAAGGGAAGTGAAAGATGAGGTTGGAGTAGGTTCTTCTGAATTTTGTCTTCATATTAAGTAAAATTATAGAATTTACAGTGGACCCATTTTTGCCATCGGGTGTGTAGCTCAGTTGGTAAAGGAGCAGGATGACATTGCCCAAATACATAACAGATTCAGTGGTAAAAGTCTTTGTGGTTCTTGCATGTAAAATCATCTTTCTATGGTTGGGATATATTTATATTACCTTTTTCCACCTATATTCCAGTGGATGCCAATTGAAGAATATGCCAATCTGCACTTTGTAAAGAAGAATGAATCTTTTGATCACATTGCTAAGATATGCATGGGAAAGAAAGATAACAAATATGTTGGGTTCACTGCCTTGCCTACATAAAAGTGCTACATCCGCCAAGAAGAGCTATTTATATTCCAATTATCAAGGACATTTGTCTGATTCTTAAATTCAATATGTATTTTATGTTTTGTTAAAGTAAGTTTGAGTGTCGAAATCGTTAAACATCTATCGGGTAAGCATTTGGGTAAACGGTCTTAAGTTAAGTCCCACATTAGGTGTGTGTAGCTTTTATATTGCAGGGGGTYTATGAATTTATGTGTACATCTTATATCACTTGGATCCTGATTTTGAGTGAGATACATCGAGTATTTTTGAGGTGTCAATTTCTCTATTCATAATAAAATTTGACATCCCGCAGCATTGTGCGGACACACAACTAGTATATATATATATGTGTGGTTGGGCTCCGATGAGAAGGATAAGAATGGTTCTTCATCATTGGATTAATAGTAACTGAAGATCAATCCTAATGAAATGCAACGAGATGAACCGTATCAAATTATGTGAGAAACGCAATTAATAGGGTGAATATGAGATTAAAAGTGATCAAGGGTTTATATCCCTTCTTACTTCTCACCTTAACTCATATTCTTATATCATTTTGTATGATATATATAGAGAATATATCAAATGAAAACCACCCTCATTTGTGAAAACCTTACAAACCAATCTCATTCATCCATTTTCTTGATCAATGGTCAAGATTAGATTAGTTTATATTAGAAAATAAAAAAATTTATTTTTTTAATTGAAAAAAGACAAAAATGTAAAACATTTATATTGAGACAAAATAATTTGAAATATGCATCTTATAGTGTATGGGTTAATCACAATGATGAAAGGAATTATAGAAGAGATTGATTGGGACCCATCCAAAATAAACTCTTTGACCAAGTCTTCTCATAATCAACACAGTTAGTCCTAAAAAAGTCAACCCCTTTTTTCTTTCTTCATTGACTTGATTTTTTTATTAACCTGGATATCCAATCCGTTATACGACCGATTGATCTTAAGGCGACCACCTGCTTTGCAGATAGTCTAGAGTCACCGCATTTGAACCTCCATGGCCATAAGGGAATTTTTATTCTTTCTTGGATTTGAACATGAGATCTCCAGGTACCCTTAACATTTGGAGCTCAAGCTCAAACCAATCAGACACCACTATTGTGGTTTCATTGTTTTAATTTTAAGTTCCTATATGTAGGGGTGCTTAAAAACCTGATCAACCCAATCTAACCCAACGCGAAATAATTCAACCCGATGTCTAATCGAGTTGTAAAATTTTCAAACCGTAGGTATTGGGTCACTATTATTTGAACCCAACTCAACCCAATAAACCCGATATTCATTTATTTCTTGAATTTAATATGATTGTTGAATTTCTATTAATATATACACTAGACAATTACACAATCACATACGCTATTCATATACACATCTTTTCAATCTATTCACATCTTTAAATAACTCATTCGTATATATGTTCAGTAACTGTAAACATATATACGTAAATTGAGGAAATTAACTGAATGTGATATACGTAAGAAGTATGGATAAGTTGTATCAAATGGTTAATAAAAAGAAATTATAAGTAGAGAAATAACATATTCAAGATTAGAAGAATATTTTAATGTACCAAAATATCAACCCAACTAACCCGACCAACCCGTAGGGTTTGGGTTGCACTTTCGTTTGAGTTGGGTTGAGTTAAGATTTTTCAAACCATAAGCATTGAGTTGGGTTATTAAAATGTCTTCAACCCAATCCATGAGCACCCCTACTTATATTGACGTTTTGTGTCTTTATTATTAAGATCATACATAATTTATGTTAAAGAAGATTATTAATGTCTAAATAAATAATATGTCTTATCTTTATCTAACTACAACTATTATGATACGTCTTAAAAGTAAGAAATATAAGCTTATCTTGAGGTTGTTGAAAAATAAACATCCATATTTATATTCAGACAAAATAATTTGAAATATACATATACTATATATATACCACACACACATATTAAAAGGGTATTTGTGTAATGAATCGAGACACATCTTGATTTCAGTGTTTCTTTTTATTCCCCTTGTATGATGTATGAATGCATGAAAAAGGGAATTACTTTGATTGGAAATCATAATACCCAAATCGAGGGAATTGATTGCTAAATGGGCCGTAATAGAAGGTGACAAAAGTAAGTGGGCCTGGAGCCCAATAACCATGCCATTTTAATTTCGTTACGTTACCATTAATATTTGGTTATTTAGAAGTTGTTTACCAAACGGTATCAAGTAACATTGCCTTATCGGATGAATATGATAAGTATCAAAAATTCTATCCGATAAAAACAAAGACAAGTACCGAGAGTCTTACTCGGTAAGTGAGAGCGATGACTATTACCACAATTAACACTTATCGTGTAAATTGTTGCATTTTACCATTTTGGTGGATTGGAATCTTACCCGATAAGTAAATGATAATGTTGATTTTTATTGATAAACACTTACTCCGATAAGCGTTTGGTGAACAAACCCTTAAGTAATTTATTCTTTCATTCAATGATTGTTTGATCCATTTAATTGAACAACAAAAATAAAAAATTTAAGGTTTTTTTATTTATTAAAATGATTTATTGGAAATTATTAAAATATTAATCACATTCTTTTCTTGAATTAAATTATTAAGAGAACACTTTAATGGCTGTTTATTTTGACGGAGTGTGGAAAAATTTAAAAGTCTTGGTGTATTTAATTTATTAAATTTGGAATATAATCGAATTTTTCATTCTCTATTTTTATAAAATTATAAAAAATTAAATTATTTTTTTATTAAATTAATACCACAAATTGAAAAAAGAGACGTTGAAATACAGAAAAAATAAATACTATTCACCATAAAAATTATATTAAATTATGTACTAAAAATCTTAAAATAATATTGATGGTAATGTATGTTAGAATCTATACTATATTATAAAGAATAAAATGTAAAAAATAGTAATTTACTTTCATAAATTTCTTTATTATAGTATTATAGTTTCAGTTTTTCTTATTACAACAATGTATTTACAAACTATTTTTTATTAAGATATTATACTTTGAAAATTTTATTCATTATAGAATTGGGTTTGATTTAAATTTACCCATTATACCAGGTTTTCATGCCACCTCATTGTCTACGTAAGTTGTCCACATGTACTATAATGATGTGACTTTCTTACTACGTCACTGTACTTTTAAAATTATTTTATTATAACTTCTACTAGTTCTTATTAAACACTGTATTTTTAATTTTAATATTTAGATATTTTACATGTTATTTAACAAATATATTAAATGAATTAAAAAATTCAAAATTATTCATTAATATACTAATATCAATAAAACTAGCAGAACACAACTTATCTTGCTAATATTTTTAAAAAAATATGTGTTTTTTGAAAAAAAAAAAAATAATTATTCATTTTTTTTTACCAAAAAGTATTATCTTTTAAAAAATATATTATATTTGTTAAAAAACTTTTACTTGATGTATAAATATATTAAATTAATTAGATTTTTTAAAATTATTTATTAATATAACAATATTAAAAAATTGTAGATCTCAATTTATTTCGTTAACATTTTAAAGAGAACTTTAAAAGATATGTATTTATTTTAACAACATAAAATAAGAGGTGTTACCTTTTTTTACAAACAAAATATATCTCGAAAATAATGTTTCATATTTATTTAAAAAATATTTTACTCTAGAATATTTAATTTGCACGTAACTTAAATAAGAAAAGATCAAAAAAATTAAATGTTTTTTTAGATCATGACAATGAAAGATGAAAATCATTAATAATAATTTGAAATAAGTTTTTACTTTTATTTTAGTTAAGTTATCAAAATAATGTGTCATCCATATTATCTCATTAAAACCACACAAGCAAAAAAAGTCAAGGGTTACCGGTTTTAAAGTGCGATGCCTTAATAAAAAATAATTTGAACGCACATTGCTGTAATAAAGAAAAACAAAAGTAGAATGTTATAATAAGAAAATTTATGAAAGTAGATTTTTATTTCATGCATTTAACCCTATTATAAAACATTTAACAAAAACTTTTAAAAATCATTTTTATGCATAAAGTACTGTTTATTGATGCATATTACTTAAAATTCAAGATTACAAGTAAACTGTGTGTAAGTACAATTTATTAAAACTTCATGTTTAAATTCGTATAACTAACTTCAGATAAACATAATCAAATAGATAATAAACATTTCATTTTAAATATAAAAAATAAAAATACAATTATGATAATAATTAAGTTCTAACAAAATACTTAATTATTATCTTTATAAGAAATTATATTATTAAATAAAAATAAAAAAGTAAATTATAAAAATAAAAAAACAATAAATTTTAAATAGTTAGTTTGATATTAATATCAATATTTTTTATTTTTTATAATATATTTATATATTATTCAAAAATAAAAACAATCACTTTTTAAAATCATATAAAACCGTATTATAATATCGACTAAGACAGAAAAAACAAAACACTAAAATCGAAATGTATTTCGGTGCATTGTAAATTTTAGTATGTGAAAATACATTTAACAATCTCTTAATAAAAAAGAAAAAAGAAAAAAGAAAAAAGAAAAAAGAAAAAAGAAAAAAGAAAAAAGAAAAAAGAAAAAAAAATGGTTGGCGGCATTGGATGGCATTCGTCGTCATCACATCACCTCGTTATGTATTTTTTTCAATCTGTTTTTCTTGGAAAGAAGGCCCCAAAAATTGCTCCATTATCTATCTGCTACTCCTCTCTACTCCCCTTTGGCTTCATCCGTGATTCGTTGCTGCAATTCCTATTCCAATCGAACAAGGGTTAACCCATATCAGAGATGGCGATGAGGGAGTTGGTGACGGGTGGGGCCGCCTGTGCCGTACCTGGATCTTCTTCTTCTTCAAACCCTCTCGGTGCTTTTGCCAACGCCCTTATCGGCTCTTCCTCTCAAAAGGTTATTCTTTAACTTCATTCACTCACTTTTCACTATCCTTGTTTATAGTATTCATCCTCCTCTGGAACCCCTTATAAATTAATCACGAAATTGTTTAGGTGAAGTTAGTTATCGTAACTAATGAATATCTATCCAAGATGGATATCTGGAGTTCTATCTTGTACGTAAAATTTCCTTGATGAAACTATGGAGACCATCATGATCATTGGTAAAGCATAATTGACTTGTATCTAGTGATTTCTCTACTTAATCAAACCCTATCTTCAAAACCCAATCTTACTTGCCCAACAAAATTCCAAAGAATGACAAAAGCTTATCTGTTATTCGATATTTATCTTTTTCATGTTATTGGGTGATCAACAAGTTATGGATATCTTACAATGAAAGAGGAATTATATATTTGGATATGTGATACAATTGAAGTGGTGTTATGTGTAAATCTTTGGCAACCATTAAACCTATCACCGTTTCTATTCATTGATCATGTGTGAGTTCATAAGAAATGGGAAAAAAGATAGGGTGATAAGATTGGTGGTTGCCATTGATTTACTCCAAGTATATTAGTTCTGTAATCACAGCACCCTACTAAACAGACGAGGGAAAGTTATGAAGCATTGATCACCTAGTCTGTTAGCAGTACCTCTTAAAGAACCAGAATATCTTATATACATCATTTATGCAAGCAGGAAAGGTTGCAGGAGATTCCTACATCAACACTAAATACTTCTGGCAACAATCTTTACTCCGGAGCAGGAGAACCCTTGTCAGCCCTTCCTGGTGCCGAGTCGGAACAACATCTGCAGCATGAGAGCAAGGTTTTTATTGGATGTGGACTTATGTTCTTTAGGATTTATTCTCTCATTCTCTTTCCATCTCTGTTCCCACTCTCCATTCTCATGTTTGCTTATGTCAGGGCTCAGAGTTCGTTAGTGGTTTCCATGCTGCTAATGACAACAGGCTTGCTGATGTTTGGGATGGAATACAAAATCCTCAGATTCCTCATTTCCCTGGAAGAGAAGGTCAAACCACCTTCCCTCTAGGGCATCCCCAGCTTCAACCAGAATTAAATGGTAAAACTGTCATTTATTTTTCATTCATTCAATAGCCATGTTCTCCTGCACAATCAGTGTATATTCTCACCATCAAAATGAGTGTCTTCTTTTTGAAGCTAAAATATTGTCAATTGATAACATACCCTTTCATTTTCTTTCATTTGGTTTCAATGGCTGTGAGCATTATTTAGATGAAAAAGCAGCCCATGTTTCTTTTGGTTCAAACCTATCAGGTGTTAGTAACTTTGTGGCTCAAAGAGTTTACGATTTTCTTAATTTCTTGTGATGCAGGTCCACCTCAAAGAGTTTTGTCAAGTTTTTTGCATTCATTTGTTAACAGCAGTCATGGTGGAGTTCCTTTTGGTCCTACTCAGCTGCCGATATTGGGGTTGTCTGAAGGGGACAAACGGTGCATACGTGACCGCAGTAGCATTATGGCTCGACATTTCTTTGCTGACAAGAGTGAGGATTTCATCAATGGGCAGGTTTGTTTCTCAAGTTATGCATCAAAATAACATCTTGTTGCCATTGAGAATGCTACGCACTCTTGTATGTTTGCTATCCGTGAACATATAAACTAGTTTTTCATAGTACGTTGGCATGATAATCATGCTATTGTAATAACTAAGGCACTGCTTAGCAACACATACATTTAGTGTTGTTAGTTTACAGTTTCTGGTAAGATAAAAGGTCTTGTGATTTTTGCTTGGTAATCAAATTAAAAGAAATATTTGGCAGCTCTATTTCGTTCTTTTGGGGAAAGATTAAGAAAATAGAAATTGTGTTTGAAATATGAACCTCATTAAAGTCAAATAATCAAGCATGGTTTATTCTTGAATGTGTTTTATAAACCATAAACACATCAAAATTAAGTTTAGAACTTGTTTCTGTTTACAACATTGTCGCAAACCGGTTTTGGTTTACTGGAATTGTAAATAGTTGCCAAATGTCCTTTTTAATATTTTAGTTTATACTTTATTGAAAATATAAACTAAAAACTAAAAGCCCAAGTATTGTTAATCAACATCTAAAGGAGTATAGTCATGTCATCTCCCATGCAGTAGATATATGCCATGACCTTATTTTTTCCCATCCATTAAGTAGTAGGCCGGCAGCTTTCATAGTTTTGATTAGGTTTCAGTGGACCTAGTTCCATCTCCCCTTTCCTGTCATCTTGATTTGTCTCTTACAGTTTGGTGAAAATAGACTTGAATTTTTACAATGCCTCGACTTTGACCCACGATGTGTAATTGCTACCAAAGCTGATTAAGCAAAATACCACATGGGATTTATTGTTTGAGGTCTCGCTTACTGCTTTCTTGCTGTGTTTTGCTCCATCCATAAAAAACCCCCATGTCAATATTTGTGTGCAATCAACAGGTTTGGTCACCCATCCTTGTTCTCTCTGTGATCTGTTTCCTCACCTTTTCTACCTCATTTTTAATTTGATGTTCAGCTTAGATTTTGTTTGCAGGGGATGGGTTTGGATTGGCATGTTTAGAAGGGATTGAGACTCTAACCACTATGCCATTATAGTAGATTAATCTGGTCTAAATGATTAGATGAGTAACTACTTTCACCGTCAAAGATATCGCTACTAATGCCCTCCTATGCTATAAAATAAGCTTTAATATTACTCCCTAAATTTATATATGCAATGTTAGCCAAAAGCTATTTATGATCAGGTCAATGTAGCCCATTTGTTTCTTTCTGTTTCAAAATAAAATATAGACCATTTGCTTCTTTTCCGGAAGACAAATTTCTATGTTCTTCTACATTGAAGACAAGTCTTGCTGAATAGTATAACATACTCCTAGAGTCCCCAATTTGTTTTTATGTATTCATCTTTCGGGTGTTGCACATCAAATGATTTATTTCCATAGCTGTTCTCTGAGCCTGATTATCTTGTTCTGATCATAATTCTTATGGAGAAAATTGTTGTCATCAACATGCAAATCATCGAGCAAGTTGGACCGTAGTTTAGGGGTTAGTCATGGAAATAACTAGAGATGGAAATTTAACCCAGGTGGGGATTCCCCGACCTGGGGGGTAAGCAGGTGGGAATGGGGGTTGATTTATATTCCCGATTCGGGTTCGGGGATGGTACTATCCCCCCCTAGTATGGCCCCAATTTATGTATATATACATGCGTAATATATATATATATATATATATTCAATTATATATATTACATCGTTATTATTATTATTATTATTATTTTACTAAATGGTTACCCAATAGCTTCTCCATACCTGGCGGGGATTCCTTCCCCTCAAACCCGACAGGGATTAGATGGTCGGGTAAGGAATGGGGGCATTAACAGGGAGCGGGGTCGTAGATGGGGGATGTATTCCCCACCCCGTTTCCATCCCTAGAAATAACACACATGATTGATGCTCTTCTCGAACTCCATGTCGTGCCAACCATACAGTTTCATTAGTTTTACTTTGGAAGGAGGGGGTATCTAGCACCTATCACTAATGTCCTAACAAGTTCATTTTTTAAAATAGTTATGATATTGGTTGTGTGTATCTTGCTTCCCTCTGGATCCGGTTCTGCATAACCTAAGATACGATCTTGACAGTTTAGCCTTTCTCCTCCATTGATTAACTTTCCAATCTGATACCTGCGAAATTTATTCTGCTTGGAAGTTTAAACATCATTTCTAAATCCAATAAGTCCATTTCAGAGGCCTTCTAACACTACATACTATTCAGGTGAATGCTCTTTTATCGTCTTTAGAAATCGATAATCATGCCTTGGCTAGGGGACACATCTCTGGACGACACTCAGAGCTGGAACAATATTGGAATGAGCCTCAAATCATGACGCCTGGACCACATACTGGAGATGGTTGGGCTGATGAATTTGCTCAACACAGAGTAGGACAAGGAGACCCTAATGCTTGGGCGCTATCCTTCGAACGACAACATGGTGCTGGGGGTTGGGCCTCTGAATTTGAGCATGTGAGGATGCATTTCAAGTCTTTAGCTCCGTACATGGATGGTTATTGACTTACTATTGTTATCAATTTTTTATGTGGCCTGAGAACGAATGCTTTTGTTATTGATTTCAGGAGCAAGCTCAGATGACGTCTGTGGGTCGAATGGCAGGTGCAAACATTCCATCTTTGGCTGCTATGGAGCAGACCCGTATGCTAGCACACACTTTAGCTCAGAACAGCAATCCTAAATTTCAGGTTATTATTAGGAGATTCAAGGTCTTTTTGATGTCGCGTTCGTTGGCTCTTACATTATTTGGTTTCGGTGGGTCAGTGTAAACTTGTGAATAATCAACTCATGACCCCAGCCTTACGCTGAAAGCAGCCTGGTTGTGGATGGTATAGTGTGAATCTTTCCTATGAATAAGGGGGAATACTGGCTGCTTCTTGTACCACTGTTGTTGCTCCTGTCACTTACTTGTTCATGATATTGTTTGGCCATATGCAGAACTCAAAATTCCTTCAGTTTGTTTCAAAGATGAGCCGTGGGGAATTGACCATTGAAGATAACCAAGTCAAGCCTGCAAGTGGTGACTGGGCAAATGAATATCAACAGCAATATAATGCAGGCCCTTCTTCTTGGGCAGATCAGTATGCACATGAAGAGGCAAGTACAATTTTCTGCATACATGGCTAGCTACTTATTCAGTTTTCCCATGATTTAAGCTGGCTCTTTACTTTTTTTGATAAACACGTAGGCCACAAAACAATATTGAAATCAAATTATGTCCTCTTATCAAAAAATATTCTAACACCTGCTAGTAGTCAGCTCCACGATTCTTGTCTGGCTGTGTGGATTTAGTTAACAGTGCTTGCCTTATGGCTTGTTAATGCATCATTGTCTTCAGATTTCTAGGGGTCCTGATAGGTGGGCGGATGACTTTGCTGCTGAACGTGCGCATCATGGTCCAGTAGATGAGCAGTGGGTCAATGAATTTTCCAAGTTGCAAGTCAACGACTGGGCAGATGAATTTGGGCGTCAAGTTGGTGAAGGAGTTCTGGGAGATGATTCTGCTGATAATTGGGCAAGTGCATATGATGAGTAAGTCTATCGTGTTCCAACTACATTGATTATCCTGTTTGGTCCACGTAATACATATGATATCCTTGTCCATTCTCTACGTCTCTGCTGTATGTCATCGTAATGTGATGTCCTTGCTGCTCTAATCAATTGAAGTCATGTGCCAATAGTAAGTCCCGTAGTCCATTACTTTATTATATGTTCATGTTCATAAATAACATTGGAATTCACTCTTCAAAATCCGAACTCTAAATGTATATGGGACGACCAAATGAGCCTTCCCAGCAGCAATACTTCTGCAATGTTGGTATTTTTGTTCTGTCATGTGCTGCATATGGACTCCACATCCAACCATCTAGACACTTGGGTTTAGGCACCACCTCTGGATTTCAGATATGACCATCATTAGCCTTGTAGCCGTTCCGTTGCCTGAGCCATAAACAAGAGTCACTGTGCAATATACAAAACTTAAGAATGTACCCTTCAATACTTGAACTTAATGTGTATAGTGATGGTATTACTTTCTCATTCATATATGTTGCTCTCTGTTATTTCTGTTCTGTGCCCTTCAAAAAAGACCCAAAAACCATTGTTTCTGGTTGGCGTTTTGCAACTCTGTTGCTTTGTCTTCTTCCTGTCAGTAGTAAAGATAATTACTTATTTTTCTATTTTATTTTTATCTTTGTATGGACTTTTTATAAACCAAGTGAAAGATATATATTTGGATTTATTTGTATGATTAGTTTTGTTGGTTGATATGGTCTTTTAAGTGGATTTGTTGATGAAACTGTTGAGGACTTTGCCAATGGATATTTGTCTTCCTGATACCCTCTTCCTATTCTTGTAGGTACTTAAATGAGCAAGCTGTTGTCAAGCAGAAATCTGACGCCTCAAGGGGAGTCTATGTCTTCTCTGATCTAAATCCTTATGTTGGCCACCCTGATCCCCTGAGAGAAGGTCAGGAGCTGTTCCGTAAAGGTCTTCTAAGTGAAGCAGTTCTTGCTTTAGAGGCCGAAGTTTTGAAGAACCCTGAGAATGCTGAAGGTTGGAGGTTACTTGGTGTAGCGCATGCTGAGAATGATGATGACCAACAGGTTTGATATGTCTTGCTTTTATCAGAAATTATCTGACTCCAGTAGTGCATAATTCATGTAAATTTATTGGTATTGGATTATTGGCCCACCGTCCTCCATCGTGGACAGTCCTTACTGCCAACCCTTCTTTCGGCTTCTCTTTATGTGGAAATACTCTGTTGTGGCAGGCAATTGCATCAATGATGCGTGCACAGGAAGCTGATCCAACAAACTTGGAAGTTCTTCTTGCATTAGGAGTGAGCCATACAAATGGTATATACAGTTTCTTAATCGTTGTGCAGTTCTACTTTTGGATGTTGAAGAGTCCTTTTTCATATATTTATTTTATTATGGATGGTTTTATCTTCCTCTAATGTCCTCAGAATTGGAACAACAAGCTGCTTTGAAGTATCTGTATAGTTGGCTGCGCCACCATCCGGAGTATGGGAAAATTGCCCCTCCCGAATTGTCTGATTCACTGTACTATGCTGATGTGAGTGTCTTTTAAGCCATTCTTGTTGTCTGTCTCATGTTTGACGGTAAAGCTTTGAACCATTGTTGCGCGTGGCTATGGAACTCTGATGACGAAGTTGTAGAAACTGATTAAATATCTCTCTCTTCAGCATGTTATCTCAACCATTTGTTGCGTGTGAAAGCTTGGTATAAGGGACATAAGTGCTTGACTTATTTTGGAAATTTAGTTCTTATTTACTTTCTTTTTACAGGTTGCTCGAACTTTCAATGAGGCAGCTCAAATGTCACCTGAGGATGCAGATGTACACATAGTACTAGGTGTCTTGTATAACCTTTCAAGAGAATATGACAAAGCCATTGAATCCTTCCAGACAGCTTTAAAGCTCAAGCCCCGAGATTACTCGTTATGGAACAAACTTGGGGCAACGCAAGCAAATAGTGTTCAGAGTGCTGATGCAATATATGCATACCAACGGGTAATTTTTTGCAACATGCTGAAGTCTCAAACTTTCAGTATTTACAAAATAGCTGATAATTTCTGGCTGTTTTCATGTTTGTTAGTCTGCTAAGGGTATTTTATCAAGTGTTAGCATGGATCTCTGGATTAAGGTCTTATAGCCTGTACCTAGGGAAGTATGACTGAAGAGGCCTGAACACATCACAGACTCTGAAGTCTTCTAGGTTCTCTCTTATCCACCTCATATATGTTAAACAATTGAGTCAAGGTTAAAATACTCATTTTTTCTACACTTGCTAAAGACCTGGATTGGTGCTCTCGAGTCTCGACTAGCACTGTTGAGGTGAATAAAAGAGAAAATCTTCATGCATTGTGTAGGTTGTTAGGATCATTTTTGGAGCTTAGCAAGGGAGGACCATGTTTTTGATTGTCAATATCAATCACTTTCTACAATCTTATTTTTCTACTTTTTTTGAGCTTTGACCATCTTTTCTGTCCCAACCCCTTTTTTCTTTTCTGTTCAAGTCTTGAAATGGTTAGTTTTGATAATCCTACAACCACAACAAACCCTTCGGGACCATAGATACATATGGAGATATCTCTTGAGTTTTATTGTCAACTCTGACTATGGTTGGAGGAAATGGACATTGCAACACCATTCTGCACATGATCTTAGGTGAGACCTACGGTGCAGCCAACTAAACGCCAAATGTGACTTTAAAGAGAGAAGAAAATCATCGAGGGAAAATAAAGGACACTCTTAAAGATTCAATTTAAAGGACACATGAATGAATAGGAAGTTGAGCCAGTGACACTTGAACACCTACGTGATATCTACTAGGTTCAAGCATACCAATTGAGAAGCAATCTTAGGAGCCTTGAGGTGATTGTTTGGCACATGGTGATGGATGCTGGTACGGATTCTATTGGTTCCTAGGTCCAGCTGCAGATAAGCCCATGAGCCAAGAATGGGGAATAACCAACTCAAGATGTGGATTAGGCAAGGCCTAACACTCGCTATAGTTCTATGTCATGATATTTATTGAGGCTGAGCCATAAAGCTGAGAGCTATTTTTATTTGGGGTTTAAAAGAGGCTTCACTTTCAGATTTTACATGGTAACTCACACTGATCCTCAATGACCTAATGGTGGTTGATGAAGCCAAGATGGACACTGGTGTAGGAATTGGAATGACATGAGTGGTTCGAGGATAGATGTTTGATAGAGAACTAAAGCTACCAGTGATTGGACAAAGAGGTTGATGGGGAAAAAGATCGAAACATAGAAGGTTGTAAGGAGCCTACCTGAAAAGGATACGAAGCAGTCTAGAAGTTGCTGAACACAATGTCTTAAATCTTGCATGGGATATGGTCAACCGTGCTTTATAAGCGATCAAATTGGCTGATGATAAGAAAAACGGATATAATTATCGCAAGTTCCATTGGTATATTGGTCATGCTGAAGACTGCTTCAACTTGAAGTTTTTCTAGCAGATGAGGCAAAATGAGAGTTAAACAAGTATGTGGCTCGGATGCAAGGAATATCGCGTAGACCAAGGGATGACTAGGAATATAAGGTTTTAGGACATGATATTGGCAGTCCAATAGACTCCAATTGGTGATTAAATATTCAGCTATAAAAGGCTCACAATTTCTATCGATAGGATTGAAATTTTAGGCTTCCTTGACAATCTCACTAGGTGGTAATAATCAACTCACATTGATCCTTTAGTGATAAATGGTGGACCTAGTGGAGCATAGAGTGAGGCATTCATGCCATTACGATGTTATATACATACATACATAAATACATGGACCCATATTGTAATTAACTAATCATTCTTTTCTTAATCACAACTTTTTAGTGATGACATTGCCGGGTTGTTGACTCCTATTGGGGATAAATTGCTTTAATTGATATAGTAGTGTGAAGCGATACAGGTTAACTTTGATCTGGTAAACTTTAATCCCATAGAATCAGAATACCTTTTTAGTTGCATCAACAAAAACTTACCCAACAAATTAATGTTTGCATCTTGTACCATTGGTCGTGTTGGCTCTTCTTGACCCATAAACAACAAAATTCTCTCCTCTCTTGATGAACCCACGTTATATGGGTTTGGGGACAAACCAATAGAAGACCCCTAGTCGTGAGATGGAAGTGATGTTCTATGTATTGAGCTCTCCGTAAAGTTTCATTTTCACAACCCTAGATTGGTTGAGGGATTGTGAAGTTCACCGTGAATGCCAAGTATTGAGCTCACAAGGAATTGGTAGAGGATGTTGCTACAGTAGTTGCTCAATGATGATCTGGAGGGCTAATGCAGCAAGCTGGATGACAAGAAAGAGAAAGGTATGTTAATAAAAAGGAGACGAGGAAGAGTACCAAATTCTAAGAAATCTGACGATGCATATCAAGCTTGAAAGGTTCGAGGAGGATATGACACATCTCATCACGAGGTCAAAGTAGGGGAGGCTAAGCTCCACCTTATTAAGAATGAGAAGATAATCAATATTGGGGCAGTTGAACTTTGAACTGAGGCAGAACATTGGGAGTCTTGTTCAGATTTATAGCATATCTTCACCTTGGTCCCGAAGCTGTGCTTGGGGTCTATATGCAGACTTCTCCAAATTCCATGTATCGACAAGCTATGAAGGTCTCTAGCAGAAAAAAAAACAGAGAGGTAGATTATCAAAGAGATTGGTTGTATTAAGTGGTTGGTGAATAACTGAACTGAATATGGAGAACGTGTATCAATTACCATGATTCATGGCTGGAGGACTATCATCCAATGCTACTCGGACCAATTTATAACATGTCAAGGCGTTCGCTCAGTTCTCTAGGATCCACCTTACAATATAATGAAATAAGAATGTACCAACTAGGGTCGACTCTATTGGGCTGTTTGGGGACAGAACTTGAACCACCCAAGTGAGACAAATGGACACTTGGGGAGTCCTACCCATTGCTAAGAGTTTGAATTGCAGACTCTGCATTGGGAACCACTGTTAGTATTCCAAAAATGGGAAAACATCGAAGTGTATGTTCATGAGAGAGCTGGATTGTCTACTGGCCCTCGTCAAGATTCTCTTTGAGGTCCTGCTATAACTCCATATGAATCATGAAGGGAAGAAATCCAAGGCCGAAAAATATCCGAAGTTTGGCTATGATCCTAGTTCCATAAAAACAGTGGAAAGATTTAAAGTGTCATAAAAGTAGGATGAATTGAATGAAGAAAGCGTAATAGCTAACTGGTCTAGCTCCGTGGCACGAAAATGCTATAACGTGGGGGACTTGAACGTCAATGAATTGGAAGCATAGAGTATGAAAGAACTGAGAAGGGGCAGAAATGAAGGGAAGAAAGTTGTAGATCCTGATTGGAGGATGGAAGGGTTGCATCCTTAAACTGTCTCTTTAACTGACAATATGTCAAAATATTACAGAAGGGACCAACAGCTAGGTGGAGGCAAGTACTGTACTATAGTCCCTAAAGAGGTGATATGTGCTGGCCTAGGGAGAATCTTTTCCTTTTTTTTTTCATAGCAATCACCAAAGTTAATAGAAACTTGAAATGTTGTACTGAGTTTGTTTTCATTAGGACATGGATTACTGTCTTAATGCTGGATCTACTATTAAGCTTGAGATTTTCTTTTTCTTTTGGTTGAATGGCTATCATATATATCATGTAACCAAATTAACTCAATTGTTATGTTATCAGGCATTGGATCTGAAGCCCAATTATGTTCGTGCATGGGCAAACATGGGTATCAGTTATGCAAATCAGGTCATCTCTCTTTCTGTTTACTTTCTTCTGCTTGCCAAGTGTTAGCAGTTTGGAGGATCTGAATTTTGTTGCATGAATTTGGTGTTACAAATACAGGGTATGTACGAGGACTCTATTCGTTACTATGTGCGTGCACTAGCAATGAATCCAAAGGCAGATAATGCATGGCAGTACTTGAGAATTTCCTTAAGGTGGGTTAATCTAAATTTTCATTTGCTAGTGTTGCAAATTAAATTGAAAGTGAGTTTGAAAATGATGGATGTTGGTTAATGCATGCAGCTGTGCTTCGAGGAATGATATGATGGAAGCTTGCGACTCGCGGAATCTTGATGTTCTTCAGAAAGAATTCCCATTATAAATCCTTATCTGATTCTGATACAAGATGGAATGTTTTTATATACATACATTTAGAGTCTGGTAAGGTTTATTACATTACATATATAAACAGTTACTGATTGTTTGTAGCAATAAAGGGTACTTTGATTAGATTACTAGTAACTTTTGAATGAAAAGGAATCGTCTTTTTGATTTTAAATCCTATGGCTTCATCTTGTAGATTAGCAGTGAGGGAAAGATGGCACATATTTTGTAATTTGAATGGAATGTGATGCTATGATCATTCATCTATGTATATTTGGAATTCCATAATAACTATATGTGTGTAAATGCAACTTATTGCATTTGTACAACCAATGCAACCCAATCAATTGAGTAGTTATGGAAATGACGAGAATTCATTTATTATGATTTGAATATTTATGGAAGATGGTTAGAGTTTATTAATTATGATCAAAGTTTTATATTAGGTTACAATTGATATAATTATGGAATCGTTTATTTGTTAGACTAGATGGACAATTGAGATTGAGTTGCAATGGTTGTACAAATTGGACGGTTAAGATTGAGTTGTAATGGTTGTACAAATAGGAAGAGTTAGGTTCAGGGGAAAACTAAAAAAATAAAATAAAAGACTCGAGAACACTTTCAATAACATTGATCAACTCTAATCCAATGGTTATCAAAAATATTGAATTAAACAATTTATTAAATGCAAAAAGGACAAATTGGTACATTTTCATTAATAGATAATCATTTTCATTTACTAAAACCCCTTATATTAAGAAAAATATATTCAACAATCTAAATAAAAAAATCCAATGTATTACTTCATTCGATTTCTATCATTTATGTGTTGCATACACATGTGAATGAATCCAATATGAGCGGATCATCATATTTATTGTCTTTTAATTTTTAGGCTGTATGCATATGTGAATGAATCGTTGTATACACCATCATTCATTTTCTGGGTTGAATGCACTTGTGAATGAATCACAAAATTCATATTTTTTTCAATTTCTAGGTTATATGCACATGTGAATGAATCACCATATTCAACATCCTTCAACCTTTTGGGTTGAATGAACATGTGAATCAGACATCATATTCAATGTTTTTCAGTTTTTGGATTGCATGAACATTTGAAAGATTGTTTCATCGTGTTCACATGCTTATAAAACCCAGAAAAACACAGTAAAGAGAAAGATATAGACATAAAGATGAATGCTTGAATTCCTTCATGTATTCACTTGTGCATAAAACCCAGAAAACTAATTTTCTGGGATGCATGCACATGTGCATAAAACACATAAAGCCATTTTCAAAAGTTGAATGATCGATTTTAGAGGAAATTATCGTGTATATAAGATGGAGAATAAGAAAATCATGTCGGTGAACATCCTCCCTTTCTGTAGCTTGGTTCAAGGATGGTATGGCTTGAATACGTGCTTCACCAACAAACTAACCCTAGTTCAATCAAAAGATGATTGATTTAATTCTTTTGGAGAACACGAAGAAAATCGATTGTTTTGAAGGAGAAGAAGCCATTGATATTTTCAATCATTCCATAATTTTCTTAATACATACAAAGATGTCATCAAAATCTTATCCCTTTATTTATTTTTATCTAACAATTGTCAGTGTTTTCCAGTTTTTCATTTACAAAATGGTGAATTATGGTGAACTTTTGATTGTCCACATTGATGACAAATGTGAAAAATTGAAAGTACAAGTGACTTTATAAATGATAAGATATAACTCGAATGTTATCCAAATTTTGAGTTAAATTATTATTTTTTTATTTACATGATAAAACATTTCATGTAATAGTTAAATATTTCATTTTTATTATATATAAATTAAATTTATATGAAAGAATCTTGAATTATTTCTATTTTATTATTTTAACATATATTTTTATTTTCTTAATTTTTTACATGGCCAAAATTTTAGTTACTCTTCTTTTGCAAAAAAAAAAAAAAAAGAAAAGAAAAGAAATATCCATATAAAAAAATTAGGAAAAATAAATAAATTGTTATTGTCGAAAATATTATTTGTTTATAAATAACCTAAAAACAAAATTATTAATGATGCATTAAACTTTTCATTATAAATATATGCAAATTAACCGTTAAGGAAATATGTTTCGTTTTAATTTGGTCAATGATTTATAACTTGGAAAACTTTCACACAATTGGAAAACCGTTAGCTTCATTTCTCCCGTTTTTGAAACGATGATAGCAAAGAGGAGTTATTAATTAGCGTTCCTATGATCATTTGGTCACGATTCTATGTTCACTCGCGTGGGTAACATTGGAGGGCTTAAGATTTAATTAACATCAAAGTTGCAACTTTTGAAGTCGTTGCATCTACTGCAATCCTAAACGCTTTTATAGACAAAGACAGACCCATAAATTTTTTCAAATTATGGCATTATTTGACTATAAGAAAAACTTATAGGGAAAAAATTTCAAACCGTGACACAGTTCGACTATAAGAAACAGATATACTGAATTTTTTTCAATCGGTGACACCATTTGACTAAGAAAATGACACTAACAAGATTCGAACTTGGATTTGTAGTGGAATAAAAGTCTTGCAAACTAACACTACCAAATAAAATTTGTTCTCATTGTAGTTTCAAAATACATATGGTGACACACAACAGATTAATACGGTTACACCTTTCACGAACCTAAATTTTTTGTACCCTTCGATGGAGGAATAATACGGTAACACGTGCCACTATAACCATCAAAGTAGGTTTGTCCCTGTTTATAGATGAACAACTTGTTTGGAAGTTTCTTGCAAAAAGTGACATAATCTGTCACAAATTTTGGTTGTCGGTAAGTTTTGTTGTTGAAAGTGTCTTGTCTAGCTAATATGTCATAAAGTTTGCCGGTTTATTTGATAAAGCACGATTCCAGGTTAATTTATCTTGTTTATGTTTCACACGGAACATAATTAGTTTGAGATTTTGATTGTTTTATGTTATTCGAGTACATGCATGGGTCCTAAAATCCCAAGTAATATGTACGGTGTGTATCTATCATAATTATTTATCTGAGCGAGAACGACATGTTATAGACTAAATTATAATTCATTAATTGTAGAAAGAAAAGTTGAATTAGTTAAATGGAAGATATATATATATATATATATATATATATATACTAGAAGCGTACTCGCGCAATGCAGCGAGATACATCGTGATTTTAATATTTCATTTTATTTTTTATCTCAGTCGATGTTATA